GTAATTAGGTTGTTAACTTTCAAGTAGCAGGTCTAAAGTTCAAATCCTAGTGTTAATAAAAATTTAAAATTTTTTTTATTACAGTTAACTGTTTTTTGCTATTAGTTGAAATTAAATATTTGTTACCTATATTATACTAGTCTAACTGAAAGATTACATAGCATTTATGCAATAGTTGTACTTTGTATAAAAGAACACAAACTAATGCCAAGTGTATAAATCTATGATAAGTTTATATAGCTATGTAAATCATAGGAACCAGAAAGATAAAAGCCTACTTGGAAAATCTAAGTTGAGAGGTAGTTTGAACTTATAATAATGTTACTATAAAGACTAAATTTATAAAATAAAGCTAGAACTTATAAAGCTAGCCAAAGAGCTAGTTTTTAGAAGCGAGCTAAATAAAACTAGCCAAGCTGTTAAGATTCATTCTAAAGAAAAAGTTTATATGCCAAAGAACATATAAACCAGAGATATAGTTATAATCTATCTTTTTGAGCTATTTGGTCTAGAAGTTTGATAGAACTTGAATTAAATATCAAAGTAGTAGGAATATATTGTAAAGTTAGTATTAGGATTGAGGTAAACTCTATAAGAATATAGCAGTTTAATGGTATAGCCTGATTGCAAATGTTAGTCTCAGCTATAGCATTATTGAGTTAGTTATAAAAATAGAATATAGAAAATTCTAAAAGGTTTAGTATAAAATTGAAGATTCTTCATATGATCAAACTGCTTTAAAGACTTGGTGGCCATGATATATCTTTATTAACATTGGCTGAGATTATTAATAAACAAAGGTAGATAGATGGATATAGAAATTAAGTGTTTAAATAAAGAACTTACAAGTAGTTTCTATTATGTTCTTGTTTCTTTTTTTCTATTTTTGATATATTGCTTCTTTCTTGCTAACTTCTTTATCTAATCTTTTATGTTTTTTTTTTTTGCTTTCTTTTTTATTTTCTGATATTATTTTGTATTAGTTACTTTCTTTTTTGCTTATTCTTTGTATTGCTTCACTTCTATTATATTCATAATTAAAGTTTACTTCTAGCTATAAGTTTTTTCTTTTGAAAACTTCTTTAATTTCTTTAATATACTTATTATTCTTTAGTAACTATCTAATAAATTTAATACACTTTTAATTTGGTTTTTCTAGTATATTGTGTATCAATATATTGGCAAGTAAACTGTTATTTTAATTACAGCTTTTTTTATTTGATGTCTACATGCTTTTTTTTAATAACACTTCTACTATATTGATTTCTTTTTTAATTTTTTGTTCTATTTCATCTTATCTTTTTGTTTTTTCTGTTACTATATTATGTCTTAGTTCTTTTCTGTCTGCATTTATGTCTTTTTGCTCATATTCTTCTATTTATTCTTGTTTTTATTGGGGTTGCCTTGTTTTTGTTCTGTTGTTGCTACTAAAACTTACCTTTATTATTTCTTTTTGTTAAACTATTATTTTGTTTTCTTGTGTTTTATTTTGTATTATCTTTTATTTTTTGTTCTTATTTTTGTTATTAGATTTTGTTCAATTTCTTTAATTTTTTCTGTTTCTGTTAGTTAGTACTGTTCTTTTGGTTTATTATATATTTGTTTAAAGATAGATTCTATTATTATTATATAGTTGCTTTACTTTACTATACTTAACTTTTTTTTGATTACTCTTTCTTTACTATTTCTATTAGTTGTTTGTTATTTTTAATAACACAGCCTTGTCTAGGTTATGTTCTGTTAGTATAGTAGTGATTTTGTCTTTTCTATTAAGTATTATATATATTTTGTCTGCTTGTTTAAGAAACATCTTATTATACATACTGTTAATAACTCAGTATACTCTTTTAATATACGTTTTTATTAAACTATCATTATATTTTCTAATATATTTATATTATTAATAAAAGTTAAACACATATATGTTTTGTTTGTTTTTCATATAACTTGTTTGCTTATTTGTTTATATTTTTATAATCAAAACAGATCTGTGATACAGGATTAGTGTCAATTCCTTAAAAATTTTGTTTCTCAAGTGTTTTTTTTTAAAAAATTTTTAGTTTTTTTATTTTTTTCTTGCTATTAAACTGTTTTAATCTATTTTTTTATTTTCTATGTCTTTTTTGAATGCTCTTCTCTTTTATTTAAACCTTTTAAGATAATTTAAATAACTATTTTTGTGTAAATTTAATTTTTGTTTCTTATCAAATTTATATTTAAATAATCATGAAGAGAATATTAATTACTTTTATTTTTTTTTTTAAATATTAAAGTGAGTACTTGTAATTCAGAATTTTATTGATAGTATATTTGACTAATAGTTGCATTACAATTACAGAAGGCAATTATAGAAAGAGTATATAACTAGCCATTTATACAACTTTAGTTATTGTCTAATTTAAGTAGCTGTTTGAAGGTTTTAAACTAGCTGCAATATTTAGAACCTATTTGTAGGTTCTCTATTTAAATACTTTAGTTTCTGTATTTACCTACTTATCTCTGCCTACCAATAACTCTGGCTGATGCTAATGAAAATATATCATAGTTACTAAGTTTTTAAAGCAGTTTACTTATATAAAAAATCTTTGACCTTGTACTAAACCTTCTAGAATCTTCTATATTTTATTCTTATAACTAAACTAGTATTATTATAATTAAGACTAATACTTGCAGTCAGAATGTACTATTAAACTGTAGAGTTCATTCCAACCTTAGTACTAATTTCATTATATATCCTTATTATTTTGATATTCAATTTAAGTTTTACCAAGTTCTCAGATTAGATAACTCAAAAAGGTATATTATAACTATACCTTTGATTTATATGTTTTCTAACATATAACTTTTTTTTCCAAAACAGATTCTAACAGCCTGACTGGTTCTATTCAACTCCTTTTCAAAAGCTAGCTTTTTGTCTAGCTTTATAAGTTCTAACTTTATTTTATAGATTTAGTCTTTACAGTAACATCATTAAAAGTTTAGACTACCTCTTTATTTGGGTCTTCCAAGTAAACTTTCATCTTCTTGATTTCTGTGATTTACATAACCACAAGACTTATTATAAGTTCATACCATCTGGTACCAGTTTGTATTTCTTTGTACAAAATACAACTATTGTATAAATGCTATATAACCTTCTAATCAAACTGGTATGACATAGGTAACAGGTATTTGATTCTAACTAATAGCAAAAGACAGTTAATCATAACACCAAAAGAATATTAAATTTTTGCTAACACTAAAATTTGAACTTTAGACCTGCCACTTGAAGGTTGACAACCTGACCACTTCACTAGGTTACCACACTTTTTAATTACTTTTATTAATAATGCTTGTAAATTATACTTATAGTAATATTAGATTTATAATTTTTAAACTTTTCATTAATACAAATTTTAATTAATTAATTTTTTAAAATTTGATATAATATAGTACAAAAATGGCTATTTTAATTGGTTAAAATTAGGAATGCACTATAGTACAAATGTTTAAAAAACTTAAATTATAAAAAAATAGTTTATTTTAATATATAAATACAAATATAATATAATTTAAAATTTAAAAACAAGAACTTTTATTAAATTAAAAACATAATACGTATAACTAAATTTTATAAGGAATTTTTTTTATTAAAACTTTAAAGATGATTTTATATACAAAATTTTTGAGTATTATAAGTATCTGTCTGTATAAATAATAATCTTAATAAAAAATTATTAAATTCTTATAAACATTTAAAAATACATAAAATAGTTTTATTAATAAAAAATATTATTATTTTATTTAAACAATAATATTTTATACTTTAGTAATTAAAATTAGATTATTTTATTCCTATCTAATTCATTTTGATAAAATAAATCAAATAATAATAAAATTATCTATTTCTGATTTCTGTAATTGATCATACATTATAATAATTCCTTTTATCTTTATAGAAATAAAAAAATAAATCTTTCTATTATTGCTTATTTTATTAATTTTCTTATCTTTTACTAATTTTATTATTTTTCATCTTTTAGTAGTTTTGTCAGTTTTGCCAGTTTCGTCATTTCACCATTTCACCATTTTCAAATTTTTTTTGGCGAAAGTCGAAACTAGTTTCGACTTTCGACTTTTGCGAAACCTCTAAGTTTCGCCTAATAACGCTAATCTTGTCCATAATCTTTTGCTAGGGTCTTAATTTGCTATCATGAGCACACCTCTAACTTTGCAGCTTGATTCCCTTGATTAATTGTTTACAATTACATGACAGGGACTCCTTGGATTCTCTTTGAAACTTCCTTGAATTATATATATTACTAAATCTCAGGAATAAAGATAGTGAGGTATGTTGATGTCGACATTTTTTGGATTGAAAGTCTAAATATTTTCATGATTGTTCGAAATATAGAGAACTGTTGAATATAAACAGCAGAAAGAGTTAAAAACTCTGAAAAATAAAAAAAAAAGATTTAAATAATGACTAGCGCTAGGATTTTCAGTCCAAAAAGATTTATAAATGATTGAGAATTTGATGGATTAGATATTCAATCGCTAAAGCTATTTTTCAAGAAATAGCATACCCTATTAATTTTACTTTAGATGAGTGTTAAAATCGTCATTATAATATTTTTTATGCAACTATAGTCTTACATATAATAATCACACTTCATGAACCATCACTCTTTTAGATATTATACTAACTTTAATTGTCTCAAAATTTGAAGCCGACTTTAAGAAACCTATAATTCTAACTTTCTGATTATAAATTTTTATCATAAAAGATCCAAACTATTAGTCTTAATTTGGAATTTGAAAACGTAACCATAGGATAGGTTTGAAAGCTAGAGGACTAGTTAATACCAAACAACTTTAGGATAAAAATGTTGACATAGTTGGTGATTATAAAAATCTTTATTACTTACGAATAATAATCGCTTTTATTTATATGCCAAATTTTGATGTTATTAACAAAATATTCTTATTTGATTTATTGCGGTAAATGTTAAAGAACTACCTCATTTAGTGACTTGTGCCACTACATAGCTAATAGACAGAGTAAATAACAAAGGAGGACCCAACCAAATTAGCAACCAACTCCACAATGATGGTTTTACTTTACTTAATATATTGACAACTTGATGTTCTGTCTCAGATAAATCACCAGAATTATCGATAACAAAATCAGCAAATTTTATCTTTTCCTTCAGAGGCATTTGAACAGAAATATACTGCTTGGAGGTAGATTCTGATATATCTTCTCGTTTCATTAAACGACTTAGCTGAATTTGTTCGGAACTAATAAATGAACAGTTAAGGATTTTAAAGATAATTTATAAGTACGAATGATTTACATGTGATGTGAAAATGAAATTCCCACAATAAAAAAATTCAATTCAAAAAAAAAAGAACATACCAATAAACTACAAAAACATAGCTCATAAATTTGTGAATCCCTCCTTCAATCAATAATGGTGTGTCTAACACTACAGCTTTTTTCCCGGTGATCCAATACCGAAATACGGATTTCAATATTTCTCGTCTAATATACGGATGTGTAAATTTGTTTAAGAGTTTTCTCTGGCTTTCATCGGAAAAAATGATGTCTTTTAATTTTGCCCTATCCAAAGTTCCATCTTCAAGAAGAATTTCTTTAGAAAAATGTTTTACTATTAATTCATATGCCGGTTTTTTAGGTTGTACTACTTCACGGGCCAATACGTCTGAATCGATTATAGGAATTCCATATTTCTGAATCATTCGAGAAACGGTGCTCTTTCCTTTGTGAATGAAACTCAGTGATTATTATCTAAATGTATAAACGAACATATAATTTAATACTAAAACAATTAAAATGTTTCGTTGCTATAAACCTGATCCAATTCCTCCAGTTAGCCCAATAATCTTCATCACGAATATTTCTGTAAATATTATTGACCAAGAACAAAATATAATTTTATCTGTTAATTCTTAAATGAGTATTGCTAAAAGAAAACCGGCACATCTAAAATAGAATGATTATCGTTATATAAAATATAATAAATCTATTTTTAGATGTGCTGAGCGACACCCAGTTATTGTAATACAAATAAAAAAATAGTGATTGGATATCGATATAGTATCTTCGCGAGTAACGCAAACTTCTCAAAAGGAAATAGCCAATCAGAAAACGCAAAATTTTGAAATAGAATAATCAAATCCTAATCTTAAAGTCTATTCCAAATCCCCAAATCTCAACAATTTGTCAACACTTTTTTTGCTTTGTGTTATCGTTATCGTTATCATTATCGCGAAAATAAGCAAATCCGTTGTAAGCCATATTGGCTAAGCGGCTGGCTAACGAATTTTTCAGATCTCTAGCCGCGTTGGCCAGCCGACCCTATTATATCGGCAAGCTTAGCCGGCTAAGCTTGCTCGCCCTAGTCGGCTTACAACATTATATAGTTGGTAACTTATAAATAATTGATATATTTTTATGTTCTTAATTTTCCCAGGTTCCTTTTATAATGCTGTAATTATTCTCTCATTACCATCTTTGGAGGATGAGATAGAAGAAGGAAGGATCTGGGCAGTTGAAGCTGTGGAAGAGAATTGGTGGAAAATCAGCAGCGATGTTCGAGAATCTTATCTATTTTAAAAGCTATTGTACGATCTCTTCTTCGATTCACTCGATAATTATGTGGTTCGGCCATTATCGTTACCAAAACTAGGTCTTAGTCCCGAGTGTTGCTCCGGATTAAATTTTAGTTAATTTAAGTTTTAGATTTGTATATAGCTTCAGATTTAAGTAAACCTAATTTAAGTTCATTTAAATTTAAATTAGATTTAAATAAACCTAATCTAGGTTTACTTGAACCTAGATTTGGTTCAAATGAACCTGATATAGATTTACTTGAATCCAGATTGAATTCAAATAAATCTAATCTAGGTTCATTTGAACCTAGATTGGTTTAATGAACCTAATTTAAATTTACTTGAACCCAGATTGAATTTAAATAAATCTAATCTAAGTTTATACTATGTTCAAATAAATTTGATTTAGGTTAAAATAAAATTTAAACTAAGTTCAAATAAACTTAATTTAGATTTATTAAACCCAAATTGGGTTCAAATAAACCCAGATTGGGTTTACTTGAACTTGAATTAGATTTTAACAACCTGAATTAGATTTTTAAACCTATATTAGGTTTAAATAAATCCAAATTGTGTTTATATAAACTAAAATTTAGTTTTAATAAATCTAAATTTGGTTTAAATAAATTTAAATTAGATTTAAAATAAATTTAAATTAGGTTTATTTAAATTAGAATTTGGATTAAATAATTCAATTAGATTTATTTGAATCTAAATTAGAATTAGTTAAATTTAAATTATGTTTAAATAAATTTAAATTGGATTTAAATAAACTTAATTTAGATTTATTAAACCCAAATTGGGTTCAAATAAATTCAGATTGGGTTTACTTGAACCTAAATTAGATTTTAACAAATCTAAATTAGATTCTTAAATCTATATTAGGTTTAAATAAATTCAAATTGTGTTTATATAAACTAAAATTTAGTTTAAATAAACTTAAATTAGATTTTAAAAAAATAAATTAGATCTATTTAAATTAGAATTTGAGCTAAATAAATTTAATTAGCTTTATTTGAATCTAAATTAGAATTAGTTAAATCTAAATTATGTTTAAATAAATTTAAATTGGATTTAAATAAATTTAAATTAAATTTATTTAAATATAAATTAAAATATTTAAATTTAGATTTAATTTAAATAAATTAAAATTAGGTTTATTTAAATCTAATTTAAGTTTAAATAAATTTGAAGTAAATTTACTTAAATCTAAATTAAATTTAAATAATAGTCCAATATTAATAATTAATAATATACTTAACTAATACAAAAATCTTATTAAATTTAACATATCAAAAAATTAAATAATATTATTAATAAACTATTATTTATTAAACAGAATATTCAACAATACTTTAATAATTAGACAACTCTTAAATATTTAATCACAATTATTTAATACAATATAACAATAAAAATACTAATCTAAACTTAATATTAACTCTATATAGTATTAATCAGCACTTAAAGAATTCTTTTTTATTAAAGTTTTAAAGTTATTAATCAAGTTTTTAATAACAAAGTATGTGAATTATTAGGCATTAGCTATGAGATATTTAAAATACTAAAATAATATTTTTTAATATAATTAAAGCTTTTTTCAATTACTATTTTACATTTGATCAAATTTTAATTAAATAAAAAAAATAAAGAATTTTTTTTATTTCTAAAAAATCTATCTTTGATAGTAATTTAACTAATATCAAACTTATTAGTTTGTTTAAACATATTAAAAAACTTTATACAAAACTTTTTACTAACAGATTTAATTATATTTTTATCTATCATAAAATCTTATCACTTTTTAATTATATAGTTTTATCTAGTAATAGTATGACTATTTCTATATATATACTTAATAATATTATTAAAAAAGCTTTCTGTAATTTAATATAACTTTGGTTCTTTTCTTAGGACTTAACCAAAATTTATAATTTTATAAATCTTATACTTTTTACTAAATTATTATTATACTTACAAATGCTACTTAATCTTATTAATATTCTTACTAATTTGCTTACTAAACAACATAATTAGACTATTACAAATTTAGATTTTATTAACTTCTATAATATAAAAAATGTTATTGATTAAGAAAAAACTATAATCTTAATATTCTGAAGAATTTACTATAGCTCTCTTATAAATAAAATAGTTTTGAGCTTTTTAGAATATATTTTAATCACAAAATAGAACACTACATTAACAAAATTATAAATATAAAATATTTTAAAAAGATTTTATATAATATAAAATTTTTAGAAATATTACAAAAGAAATTTTAAAATTTTTGTAAAATACAAAATATTTTAAAATATTGTAAAATAAAGTTTGAAATTTTTGTGCTATACAAAATCTTTTGAAATATAGCAAAATAAATTTTAAAATTTTTGTAAAACACAAAATATTTTAAAATATTGTAAAATAAATTTAAGAAATATAAAATATTATGAAATAAATTTAAAGATTACAAAATATTTCAAAATATTGTGAAATAATTTAAATATTTTTTAAAGTTTAATAAAATTAAAAATTAATAATAAAATTAATATTTGATTTTTTTTAATAATATTAAGGTGAGTACTTGTAATCTAGGATTTTATTGATAATATATTTAGTTAATAGTTGTATTATAATCACAGAGAGCAACTATAAAAAGAATATACAACTAGTTATTTGTACAATTTTAGTTATTGTCTAATTTAAGTAGTTTATCTAAAGGTTTTATACTATCTGTTATATCTGAAACCTGCTTATAGATTCTTTATTTAAACACTCTAGTTCTTGTATCTATTTACCTATTTCTGACTATTAATGACCCTGGCTAATGCTATTGAAAATATGTTATATCCACTAAGTTTTTAAAGTAATTCACTTATATAGTGAACTTTTGACTTGTATTAAACCTTTTAAAATTTTCTGTATTCTAGTTTTATAGTTAATCTGGTATTGCTACAACTAAGAACAATATTTACAGTTAGAATATACTATTAAACTTTTATGTTTTTGTAGAGTTCACTCAAACTTCAGTACTAACTTATAATATATTTCTATTACTTTGGTATTTAATTCAAATTCTACTAAGCTATTAACTCAGTTAGTCTGAAAAGATAGATTATAACTATATACTTTTGGTTTATATGTTTTCTGATATATATTTTTTTCTTTTGAAATCTGAAAATTTTAGCAGCCTGATTTCTATAAAAAAGGTTTGTTCAACAAATATTATAAAAAATTCTGAAATTGTTTCAATTGTATATTCAGGTTTTGTCAAAGCTTTTGTCTAGATTTTGTCAAACTTTTGTCTAAATTTTGTTCAAGCTTTTGTTTAGATTTTGTTCAAGTTCTTGTCTAGATTTTGTTCAAAAAAATATTCAAATTAGGGTCAATTTTCCAAACAATTTTTTGTACAAATTTCTAACAATAATTATTTATTTATATATAATATTCATTGTATATTTAATCAGATTTTATTAAAGAAATATTTTAGAATTATATAAATTTTATTACAGATTTGATTATAATAAACCAAATTATAATTACAGAATAATACTAATATTATTCAAATCTTATTTGATTTAGTATATAAAACATATCAAATATATGCAAACTACATACTATTATTGTAATAAATTTTATTCAGCACTATGAATTCATAAAATTATCATTATATTTGATATTCAGTAATTGTTGGTGGCTTTGTGTAATGCATATTTATTGTTTTTGATTACTTAATTATTCCATATATGTGTATTAATTATTTTTTTTTCTACAAAAATTGGAATTAGTTTTTATTTATAAATATCTTTACTACATTTGAACTATTTATACCATTAATCCTTTTTTTATTAGACACTTTTGAAGGCTGTTTTTTAGTTAGCAAAGCATTGTCTTCTATGTTTATAGCTTTCGTAGTTTTATTTTTTTACTTCATGCAGATAGCATTCCAATAATTTAATAAAAATTTATTATTAAAAAAAACAAATCATCAAAGTGCATTTAATGATAATGTTTAGAAAAAATAGTAATATAATAATTCTATACTTACTTACTAATATTTTAACAACAAAAATATGATAAATATAAAAATACAACTTAGAATTATTTTAAAAACAAGTATGATAGCATTTGTACTTATACATTAATGATTCAGTAGAGAAATAAAAAGAAATTTGTAATATCAAATTGCAAAACTAATTAAAAATAAATGCAATGAAATTTATAATTACAAACTAATAATAATCCAACATATAAATACAGTGAAAGTAAGTTAAGTGAATATGTTGTTAAAAATAAGTCAAGTGAATATGTTGAAAATGAGTTAAATGAATATGATAAAAGTGATTCAAGCAAATATAATAAAAGTAAGTCAAGTGAATGTTTTGTTAAAAGTGAGTCAAGTGATTATGTTGTTGAAGTAAGTCAAATGAATATATTATTGAAAGTAAGTTAAATGAATATGTTGTTAAAGTAAATTAAATAAATAATTTTGTTAAAGTAAATTAAGTAAATAATTTTGTTGAAGTAAATCAAGTGAATAATTTTGTTAAAGTAAATTAGATGAATAATTTTGTTGAAGTGAATCAAGTGAATAATTTTGTTGAAGTGAATCAAGTGAATAATTTTGTTGAAGTGAATCAAGTGAATATTTTTGTTGAAGTGAATCAAGTGAATATTTTTGTTGAAGTGAATTATTCAAATATATGAAAGTGAGTTATGTAAACATGTGAAAGTAAGAGTTAAAAAAAATCAATTTAAAAACAAATTTAATGCATTTATATTTACAGGCTAATAATTCAACAAAAAATAGCAGAAGCAACTAGAACAAATTAAAAATGATATTTTAATATATCTGAAAGTATAACTACATAGTATGTGGCTAAAATTTTGATGTTTTTTAGATTTGCCCAATAACTCATCAGTATTGTTGAAATCTTTATTTTAATTTTGGAGAGTAGTTAATGAAAGTTGTGAAGAAGATGCTGATGCTGCAATAGTATCATTTATATTTGTTGAAATTGAAGTTTCAACTTCTAAGTCATAAATTTGATTAGTAGCCTGAGTGTATAATTAAAAATTAATTTAGTAGTATTTTTTTTTTTTGAGATAATATATTTAGCTTTTTACTTAAGCCTAAGACTAGTTACAAATTCTTGAAAAGTTTTATTTGATTTTGAATAAATAGAAGCATGAGAGATAGATTGTATGGAATTACTCAATTCAAACAATTGTTCTTAATTTATAAATAGTTAATAAAGTTATTACATATAAGAAAAATAACAAACAACCTTGCCTATACACTATTTATTGACCAATTTCCTATCGAAATTCCTATTCGACGCTCTATTCGTACTATCTGTCAAGCCCACATTATATCACTTTGGACATCCCAACATCGTTTTCAACAGTGGTCTACCATTGCTCCTAATATTAACTGGGAAGCCACTTGGCTTTACATCAACAATAATCAAAAGG